GATGTGGGACCATGAGTGCCAAAATGGGCTGGAAAGCTGCACTTGCAGTGTGGTAGGTCATGGAGAGGTGGTGGAGGAGCTCCAGGATGGTCTCTTGGGGGTTGTTCAAGGGAAGTCTGAGCTTCAGCTTCCTGATGTGGCCACTGAAGGCCAGCAGCGTCTGTGCTAGACAGCAGGAGCAGCTGTGACTGCGGTGCCAGAGGTGGGGGCCAACGAGGCCCCCCAGCATGCAGGAAAGCTGCCCTGCGGGCAGAGGCACGGCTCGGAGCCGCAGCCCCCCGCGCCAAACGTGTGGCCTCTTGCAGAAGCTGTCCCTGCAGATAGCGCCTCTCTCCAAGGTCACCGTCCATCGGAGTTATTTATGCTCCCGAGCTGAAAAAAACAAAACAAAGCTAATCAGGGGAAAGAAACCCCTTTAGGTGCCTTTCAGTCTAAGCAAAGGGTTCCTGGGAAGGCGAGCCCGCAGGCGCCGCGCTCCCCGCGGGAAAGGCAATGCAGCAGAGGAGTTGTGAGCGGAGCGGATGGTGCAGGGACCCAGCCCGAGTGCCGCCTGCTGCACTTGCCGCCCCGTTAGACGCAGGATGGACCAGGAGCTCCTGTCCGTCCACGGCCTTCCAGGACGGCTTCTCCCAGCCCGCGGCCCCCCCCCGCGCTTTTGTCCGATCGCCTCTGTCCGGGCCTCTCGAAGGGTACGGGGCTGCTTCTGGTCGCCTCTCGCAGGCTGGCAAGGAGAAACGCAGGCATGACCTGCCCTCCGGGGAAAGGCAGACCCAGAGCACGTCCCCGAAAACCTCGCTCGGTGGTCGCCCTCGTTAACAAGAGCGTCATCTCTCTCCGAAACCAGGTTTTCGCATACGGAGGGCCCCCATCGATCACAGAGTAACCCCGTGGTTGCTGCGTGGCCTTTCGGCTGAGGCAGGGGTTCTGGAGAAGGAAAAAGCTCACAAAGGCTGCTGTGGCTGAAGCACTTTGAGAAATTGCCGCTCTCCAAGGGGTGCCACAACTCCCCCTGCGAGGAGCTCAGCCAAGGAGTTCCCGGCACCGCCACAGCGTGGCCAGATGACGCCACTTCTTTCAGCACAGAGATGGCTTGGGGGGACTGTTGCTGCAGCTCCCTCGCAGGCAGCTTTGGGGAGCAGGCCCCTGCTTTCTTCAGCAGGGCAGGCTGCGGCAGGGCACCCCAGGGGCACTCCCGGGTCAGTCACAGCCAGGCTTGGCTTCCATGCGGGGCAGATCTGAGCACATTCGCCACGCATGTGGGCCCCTAGCTGTCCTGCCACCCCTCATGGCCGCACAGCCTCCACCCCCACGGGCTGGGCTCTGCAATTGCAGCGCCCGGCTGAGCCCCGGTGCGCTCAACACAAGGATGGTGCTTCCTGAACTGTCAATCACCTGCCTCCTTCCTTCTGATTGGCTGCGCTGCTCGTTTCCCTTTCATCGGGCATAAGCCAATCGGTCGGCGATGTTAGACGGGATCACCGTGGGGGCGGGCCATCCCGCTCAATTTTCTCATTGGTCGATTTTTGCCATTGGCTGCCTGCCCGGTGTTGCTGGGTAGAATAACCACAGCAGGAAGGCGCTGTGATTGGCTGATGGGCTTTGCGCTTGGCTAGTGATGATTGGGCAGGGAAAAGAAGAGGGGAGGGGGGAGAGGAGGGGAAGCGCTTTTTTCCCCTCCCTCCCTCGATTCCTCCTCCCGACACACACTTTTGCCTCCCGATCGGCTCAGACTCTCGCCAGGCGGAATTTCC